GCACACTTATTCCTGGGGTGGTCTGATTGTTCAGTAGTTTCACTCGCATAATAACTGGAGTGATTTTACCGAACAATCAGGCGAATGCTGGATACATTTTTAGTTGGATTGGGAGCTGCCAAGACAGGGGCATTAGTAAGTGCATTTTTCAGATGTTTCAGATGTTGGAATGCCTACTCACACTCCGGTGTCCAGGTTACTTGGCGGGGGAAGGTTCTTACGGGTCAGGTCAGTAAGGGGTTTGGCCAGGGCACTATAATTGGGGACAAACTTCCTGTAGTATCCCACTGTCCCAAGAAATGCCAACATCTTAGTCCTAGGCTACGGCCTCTATTTTGGCTGGTTCTGGTTTCTGTTTCCCGCAGCCTACTCTGTGTCTGAGGTATTGTACCTCGGCCATGCCTATACTACATTTGGCAGGTTTCAATGTTAAGCCTGCTTCCTTGATCCTATCTAGAACTGCTCCTATATGGGCCAGATGTTCCTGCCAGGTATTGCTAAAGATGGCAATGTTGTCTAAATAAGCACAGGTGTAATCTTGGAACCCATCTAGGAGTCGGTCCACGATCCTCTGGAAGGTAGCCAGTGCATTTTTCATCCAAAACAGCATCCCCTTAAATTGGTACAAGCCGAATGAGGTGACAAAGGCCGACTTAGGGATGGCGTCTAGGGCCAAGGGGATCTGCCAATACCCCCTTACAAAGATCAATAGTAGTGAGGTATTGGCCCCTGGCCATCCGGTCTAGTAGTTCATCTATCCTGGGCATAGGATAGGTGTCAGACACGGTCTTTTCATTTAACCTCCGGTAGTCTACGCAAAAGCGGGTCGTACCATCCCGCTTAGGTACAAGGACTACAGGGGAGGCCCAGGGGCTGACTGCTCAGTCACCCCTAGTTGGAGCATCTCCTCGATCTCCTTGCGCATGTTCTCCCGTACAGCTTCAGGGATGCGGTAAGGCGCCTGGCGCATGGGAAGTTGCCTTGGGGTTTCTGTACAATGGCATGAGCACTTCCCTCTTTCTACTGCTAATACCTCTCCCTATACAACCAAGCATTCTGCTAGCATTTCCTGCTGCGCTATTACATTGACTGCCTACCTTTTAAGTCATCAGAAATAATCACCCCTAAATCCGTTTCCTCAGATGTTGGTTAGGACCCTATCAAATATTCTGTACTATGCCCTTGGGTTTTTACGTCCAAGATGCATTAACTTGCACTTGTCCACATTAAATGTCAGTTGCCACAACTCTGACCATTTTTCTAATTTACCTAAATCATTTGCCATTTGGCTTATCCCTCCTGGAACATCAACCCTGTTACATATCTTAGTATCATCAGCAAAAAGACATACCTTACCATCAAGACCTTCTGCAATATCACTAATAAAAATATTAAAGAGAATGGGTCCAAGTACAGATCCCTGAGGTACCCCAGTGGTGACAAGCCCAAGCTTTGGATATACTCCATTGACTACAACCCTCTGTTGCCTGTCACTCAGCCATTGCCTTACCCATTCAACAATATTGGAATCCAAACTTAAAGATTGCAATTTATTGATAAGCCTTCTATGTGCAACAGTGTCAAAAGCCTTACTGAAATTTAGGTAAGCAATGTCTACTGCACCACCCTGATCTATAATTTTAGTTACCCAATCAAAATAATCAATAAGATTAGTTTGGCATGATCTCCCTGAAGTAAATCCATGTTGTCTCTGATCTTGAAATCCATGTGTTTTTAGATGTTCAACAATCCTATCCTTTAACATGGTTTCCATCACTTTCCCCACTACTGAAGTAAGGCTTACTGGCCTATAGTTGCCCGACTCCTCCATATTACCTTTCTTGTGAATGGGCACAACATTCGCTAATTTCCAATCTTCTGGGACTACTTCTGTTAACAATGATTGGTTAAGTAAATCTGTTAATTGTTTTGCTAGTACACAAATCTCCCAGTTACCGGACGAAACACAGTTCTGAGAGTCAACTGAGGCTTTATTCACAGGCTCCACAATTTATACAATTCCCCATGCAAGGGGTTTCCTGAGTCCTATCCCAGGGGTATTCCAGGAGTGGACTACGTGGGGAACTTAAAGTAGAGAGCATTTCTCCCATCAGGCACTGCTGCACGAGAGGGATCCTCCCACTGGAATGTACCGTTAAGTGGATTATCCCTCCGTGCAGCAGAACCAGCAATTTATATTAAAACATACAACTTTTCAAATATTAGGTTGATTTGCACGAATGGACGTTCGGTAGATAGCTGGGGTCTGAGCGCATCATTCGTGAGATTACCGCTCAGATCCCAGCTAAAACAACCGAACGCCGCACGAAAAACATATTCAGCAAAACATGTATTCAAAAGACCGATTGGCATATGGGGAATAAAATACCGAACGGCCCGGAACTCCCGAACGACCTGGAAGTCGACATGTGAGTCGTTGTCATTCTTTTTCAGTTCTCTGAACCGCCTCTGGTATGCCTCTTGTGTTATGGCATACCGGGCCAAAATAACTTCTTTAACCTGGTGGTAGTTCCGAATTTCTTCGTCCGGTACGGTTCTGTATGCTTCAGCTGCCCTCCCAGTTAGCCGACCTGCTAAAATGGGTATCCACTCTTCTGGACTGATCTTAAGTAGGGCACATTGTCTCTTAAAATCTTGGTGCAATGCATCTATGTCTTCCTCTGCCTCTACGTAAGTTTTAAAAGCTTGGTAAGGTATTTTTGTCTTACCCTCTGTGTTGGTAGTGGTTGCTGGGTTTCTGTGGCAAACCTAGCCACTTGGACAATATCAAGAGACTGTGCCTTTAAGGGTTGCCTGTATGGTTGTGGGATATGTGTTTAACTATGTATAATATATGCTGGTTGTAATACCCTGTATGTCCTGTATTGGCTATCAGCCGAACACAGATAGCTGTATTTTATTTCGTTTCACGAACAGCACCTTTGCGGGCCGTTCGTGAACCGAAAAACCACCATGTAATAGCCCACACACTTAGAGGCGTGTGGCGCTTGTTAACCGATTGCAACAATGTTGCAATCGGTAATTAGAGGCTCTCCTAGGTGGGCGCCGTTCGACTACCGACCATGCGGCGGTCGGCCATCTTGGATCCTTTGTTCCCGCAGCGGTGTTTGGTCGTCGAGGGCATGGTACTAAAAACGGCTACTCGATGGCGCGAACACCGCTGAGCTTCCAGGCCGTTCGGGAGTTCCGGGCCGTTCGATATTTTGTTCCCTAGAATGCAATCGGTCTTTTGAACATGTATTTTAATGAATGTGTTTTTCGTGCGGCGTTCGGTTGTTTTAGCTGGGATATGAGCTGTAATCTCACGAATGATGTGCTCAGACCCCAGCTATCTGCCGAACGTCCATTCGTGCAAATAGACTGCATATTCGAAAAGTTATGTATTTTAATATAAATTGTCGGTTCTGCTGCACGGAGGGAAAAGCCACTTAACGGTACATTCCTGTGGGAGGATCCCTCTCGTGCAGCAGTGCCTAATGGGAGAAATGCCCTGTACAGTAAGTTCCCCATGTAGTCCACTCTGGGAATGCCCCTGGGATGGGACTCCGGAAACCCCTTGCATGGGGAATTGTATAAATTGTGGAGCTGGAAATAAAGACCTCAGTTGACTCTCAGAACTGTGCTTCATCCAGTTACTGGGAGATTTGGGAGATCGCCTTGCTTTTCAGCGCTGACTGTGGATTACTGTATCATACCAGCAGAATTCGTGGGATTTAATATTGCCGGTCCGCTACAGTTTCTTTCTGTGGTCTGTGATGGTCTTTGCCGTATTATGAACTCCTGCACTTCGGTCATAGTCCTCGAGATAATATCCGCCGTTGGATTTTCCCCATAGAAGGCCAGCCTAAATTGCAGCTGCCTTTGAAATTCTTCTTGTGCAAATCCATCCGCCGAACTTCGCCATCGGTTCGGTATTCTGCCATGACCTCTGCAATGAGAATTGCTTTTGTTTTATTGCTTGCTGCAATACCTCTTGCTTCTAGGAAGTCTTTTAGCGTGGATCTTTTCAGTGTAGAGTAATCAATCTCCATCCGTACTCCATTAGTCCTTGTTCCTGTCACGACACTCCTTAGTTGATTTGCCCTCGTGCAGTACTCACACTCACCACTGTTTCTGTTTGGCACTGTTTCTCATTTCATTTCGTTAAGCACTACACCTGGCCCTTGTTTAGCACCTATTTAGTTTGGTTTCTCCCCTCACTCCTTGCCAGATCATTGCCTTTTGTTTCCTGTTTCCCTGGTTTCCTGTGTTTCTGGCTCCTGACTCCTTGCTCTTGCGTCTTGTGTATCCTGATCCTGTGTTCCTGTTCCGACGTCCTTTTGGCCCAGCGTTCTCGTCTCTGCCTGGTCCTGTGTCCTGTGCCTCCTGTTCTAGTGTTCGCTTATGGTGTTCCTACCTAACTTCAATTCCAGTGATTCTGACCTTGCTGCCTTTTTACCAGTGACCTGCTTTGGGCTTTGCCCCTTGGTGTTTAGTGCTTGGTGGCTTTGGATCCGTGCCCCACTTATATTCTGTGGCGGCTGCACGATCCTGCCCAAAGCCTTTACTTTTGCCTAAAGGACTATCACGTGTACTCTGCCTGCTCTAGTTGTGGTTATATTGATTTCTTGTGTGTGTGTGTGTGTGTGTGTGTGTGTGTGTGTATATATATATATATGGCATTGCACATATTTTGTTTTTGTATATTATATCCTTTTGGTTTTCTTTAATACATATTTTCTTTATTGCTCCATTCATCGTGTCCTTTCATTATTACTCTAAGTTGGTTCCCACATTTTAAAGGGACAGTGCTGTCGCATTACAGTTCCTTTGTGAGTCTGGATCCCGGCGCTACCAACCAATGTAGCGGACAGCTGGTATTTCACAGGTTATCTCCACTAAAGATCCCAGTGAGGCTCCGAAACAAGTAATACAATCCCATATAACAATAGTCCCAGCAAGCAAGGTAATCCACGAATATCCCAATATAGATCCCAATGACTGGACAACACACAGCATCAGGAGCAGAACTGAACTTTTAATCACACAACCTTCTTTAAAAGCTTTCTCCCATGCAAGAGAGGGATTTACAGTAATTACACAATACACCAATCATACACGAGTTGCCACCCACACATCCCCTCCCCTTAGTACGACACATAATCCCATTATGTAGGACACAGTTCCCCTTGTTTTTAAACATAGGGGTACCCCTTTAAATATTGGTAGCCCTGATCTGGGTGAGACACATATCCCAGATCGGACCAGGGGTTCGGTAAATTCCTGGAGGTACTAAAAAGACCGACCGCGCTGCAGTTAACAGCCGAAAAGGGTGCCATACATTTTGTCCCTGTGGTCGGTCACAGAAAAGGGAATGAAACACACGAATGGCTTGGGTGATGAGAACTAGGGAGGATTCGGGTAAATCCCCTTGTTCGCAGTGTGGAGGTCTCAGGGGTGTTTGCCTAACCGAGTGTCCGAATTTGGGTTCCAGACACTCAACGACAAAACACCGCTGTTCCGGAGTTTAAGATGGCCGCTGCCACGTGTTCGTCTCCCGAATGGCGGCCACCCAGAGGACAAAGTACACACTGCACGAATCGGCAATTACCCATTTGCAACATTGTTGCGAATGGTAATTGGAGGCACACTTAATCCTGGGGTGGTCTGATTGTTCGGTAGTCTCACTCCCATAATAACTGGAGTGATTTTACCGAACAATCAGTCGAATGTTGCATACACTTGACATACACATGGCAAAATTAAACCGAAAACATACGAATATACATAATTCTGAGGACAGCCCAATGCCATCCGCTACAACGGTCCGTTACAATTGGTGGCAAGTGGCGGGATCATTCCCACAGCCCAGAAGCACAGCTACAAGGCAACACCAGTTCCTGGATTACAAATTGAGGGCAACGCTAGTACCTGTACAGCGCCCCTACTTACGAAAGAACCAACTTCAGCAACGCAAGCATGGCACCCAGTTACAGTCAAGAGGAGTTTGACACTATGTTGAAAAGGCTGCTGGCTTTCTTCGGAACCAATCCAGAGGAGAAATACGTACAGAGCACAAGGAAAATAGTGGCAGAGTACCTGCAGTTCAAAGCAGATTTGGCCACAAAGAAGCCCAAGGGAGCCAAAGGTGCTGTCCTTCCTCCCCAGCGGCAGTGTGTCCATAGGAGAGGAGACAGTGGGTCCCTCTCCCCAGCAGTCCAGTGAGTCCCAGGGAGACCAAGGTGCCGTCCTTCCTCCCCAGCGGCAGTGTGTGTTACAGGGAGCTGAAGGTTCCGTCCTTCCTCCCCAGCGGCAGAGTGCCCTGCAGGGAGCAGAGACAGTCAGTCTCGCTCCCCAGCAGCAGGACAATATATTGAAAGGGGAGACAGTCGGTCCCCCTCTCCACCAGCAGAGAGAGTGTCAGGGAGAGGAGCCTGCTACCCCCTCTCCCCAACAGCTGAAAGTGTTCCAGGGAGAGGAGTGCTAGTACCCACCAAAGCCGAGGTGGAGCTCCTGGACATGGACAAGCGACCCACTACCCCATGTGTAGTAACGCTTTATTGTGGGTGGGCTGTACTGCTGATTGTGTTCTGTAAGTGGGTTTCTGGACTAACCAGGGCACTGACCGACAGGAGGTCAGATACCCTGTTAGTCTGATTGGTAAAGGGAAGAAATGTGGCGGAATCAAGCTTGTCACTGTGCACTGGAGGAGCCTGGTTGCTCGCCTGCTCCCTTTAGACTACGGCCCTGCATTAAAAACCTTTTATTTTTCCTATGTGAGCAGTTTTACCCCAGATAGCTAAGCCATGGAGCCCATTCGTATACCGAAAGACTATGGGAAAGACTTTGGCTCCATGGCGATTGAACTGTATGTATGTGATCTGAGCGCCATCTGGTAGTAATGGGCGCTCAGATCTAAGCTATCTGGGGATAGGTGGAATGTGTATGTTCTATGTGATAAATGTAACCGTATGTATTTTTATGTTTTTTATTGTCCCTTGTCTGCCATGTGGTTAATGGAGTTTTGTGTCTGTCCTTGGAGATAATTGGATTACTTCCCAATTATCTCCAGGACAGAGAGGAGGGATTGTGATGCATTGTGGGATTGTAAGCTTGTGATTGGTCAATGTCAAATATGTTTCCCATCTGGTCCCCTAGGGGAGTGTCCATCAGGTGGGAGACCTGCATAAAAGCCGGGCAGGTAGCCCCAGTAAAGCAGTTCTGCTTGATCCTCAAACGAAGTGTCGTCTCGTTCTTGGGGGGAATTGGATTGTATGCTGTTACAGTGCGACTGCCAGGAGTGTAAACTGTTCGTAAGGTTTTTCCTGTTCGGCTGTTTACAGCATTCTTGTGTTTCCTGTTCGGGAGTTGGAGTTTTCATGTGTTTGCAGTTCAGGAGTTTGGTGATTGCAGTAGCTGTCTGTGCATCTGAAAAAGGGAATATCGCCAAAACGTTCCGTTACAAATACAATGAGTGTTTAATCTGTGTTCTTTCTCTATTCATTTCAGGTGTAAAGTGTATGTTGAAATACTATATATATATCTGTAATTACAGAGTCACAGAATATTCTAATACTGGTCCACAACCCAAAAGCCTGTTCTCGGGCTGCCTGATTGGCTTAATGATGACAAACATAAACAGGAATCAGATGACTGAGAGGATCCTGGATCTGACCGTGGAGGTCAACTACCTGCTCACTGGAGAGGTGAGGGATTCTGGGAATGTCATTTTTACTTTTATTTAAAAAAATTTATAATGAAACTGTAGTTCACTCATTGCCCTGAGGTGTCGGTAAGGTGAATCCCCTCAGGTCCTTTGCTATTACCACCATTGTGGACGGAGAGGTCTGTAAGTGATGACTCTTTACCTTCATGGTAAAAAAAAAAAAAGAACAAGAAAAACAGCCAATGACGAGCAAGACTTTTTTTCTTTTTGTTACTGTCCCTTTAAATGCAGTTCCTGGTTTTCACCTCTAGTGGCCTCCCTAGCCACTAGTCACATCATACTCACCTGTATCCTATGTTAAGTCCTGCTATAAATGGCTACACCCAACAAAGCAAGAGGTGTTACATTGAAGTTGGTGTTCATACCAAGAACTTCACATCCTGACTCCTGTACCTTCATTACATCCTACTAGAATTTCTACAATCCTTTCTCCTTCCTTATTTGGATTACTATCAACTCTCCTGTACGTACCTGCATTGCATCCTACCTAAAGGTACTTACCTGCATTGCATCCTACTAGAATTGCTACAAACATTACTCCTTCATAAATTGGATTACTCAACTCTCCTGTACTTGCTTGAATTACTTCAAACCTGCACCATAACTACTTGATCTGCTATTGATTTAACCTGCCCACCTGATTCATTCAATCCTGCACCATAACTGCTTGATCTGCTATTGATTTAACCTGCCCACCTGATTCATTCAATCCTGCACCATAACTACTTGATCTGCTATTGATTTAACCTGCCTACCTGATTCATTCAATCCTGCACCATAACTACTTGATCTGCTACTGAATTATCCTGCCTACCTGATTCATTCAATCCTGCACCATAACTACTTGATCTGCTATTGATTTAACCTGCCCACCTGATTCATTCAATCCTGCACCATAACTACTTGATCTGCTATTGATTTAACCTGCCCACCTGATTCATTCAATCCTGCACCATAACTGCTTGATCTGCTATTGATTTAACCTGCCCACCTGATTCATTCAATCCTGCACCATAACTACTTGATCTGCTATTGATTTAACCTGCCCACCTGATTCATTCAATCCTGCACCATAACTACTTGATCTGCTATTGATTTAACCTGCCTACCTGATTCATTCAATCCTGCACCATAACTACTTGATCTGCTATTGATTTAACCTGCCTACCTGATTCATTCAATCCTGCACCATAACTACTTGATCTGCTACTGAATTATCCTAACTACCTTGATAAATACAACCTGCAAAACCAACTATCTGGACATTGCTGAAATCTGATATCTAAGGTGTTCCTTTCATTCCTGATTCTTTAAAAGTTACTAATACCTGTTGTAGCGGATCGGCAATATTAAATCCCACGAATTCCGCTGGTACATACAGTAATCCACAGTCAGCGCTGAAAAGCAAGGCAATATCCCAAATCCCCCAGTAACCGGACGAAACACAGTTCTGGGAGTCAACTGAGGTCTTTATTCACATGCTCCAGTATTTATACAATTCCCCATGCAAGAGGTTTCCTGAGTCACATCACAGGGGTATTACAGGAGTGGACTACATGGGAAACTTAATGTACAGGGCATTTCTCCCATCAGGCACTGTTGCACGAGAGGGATTCTCCCACTGGAATTTACCGTTAAGTGGGTGAACCTCTCCTAAATCCAGAGAGCGTAGCAGGAACAAATCAAGCTATTGCAAGAGTTTGCTCTGGGGAGTAAGTGATTATAGCAATCCCCAGAGTGTAGTTTTCCAATCCCCCAAACATGACCCAAGGCTTAATGCTGGAACAAGACTTTACTGGAAGTAACAACAACAGGTATTCAAGCTACAGTTTCTTTTATGCCCTGCTCCCATGCAGGGGAGGGACACACACGTTATCTACAGTAGCCAATAAAACAGAGGTTACAGCCCACACAAAATCCTCCCCTCTGCCTGTGATTCAATTATCTTATACAATAGAAGATGCAATTATCACAAGCAGGAAAAATACAGTTTTTACAGTATATTCATCAAAATTATATATTCACAATCAATCCATTCAGGGTAACAACATATCAAAAAATGTCATGAATCAGACCAGGGGTTCAGAAGTTAGTAAAGTATCTTTTGGGGCCTGGCTGGCAGCATGGATATCTGGCCCAAACCGGTTTTACAGAGCCCTCTAGCCTGGAGACAATGTGGAAAATAATCCAATTATCCAGGGATAGAGGCAGACTCCATTGAGCACATATTCCCAGTAAAACACAAAAGGATACAAAAATACATAACTCCTATCGTACTGAATTGAACAGGCCAAATCTCCCAGGGTCCATAGTCACAGGGCAAGAGGCGGGCAAGCAGTCATCTCCAGGCACAAGTGGCGAAGGGCACTTCGTCACAGTAATAAATCCATGAATAAAGTAGCAGGGAGGGAAAGTATCGAATGAATGGAGGGGGATTCTTCACACACATAAAAATCTATAACTGTGCAGCCATTGCACAAAACAGGTACATTCAACATATCCCCAGATAGCTCAGCTCAGATCTGAGCGCACATTATTACTGACTGGCGCTCAGAGCACACACATACAGTTCAATTGCCATGGAGCCAAAGTCTTTCCCATAGTCTTTCATTATACGAGTGGGCTCCATGGCATAGCTATCTGGGCTATCACCGCTCAAACAGGACAAGCACCGAATGACCCGGCTTTCGTATCTTCGCAGGGGAAAATCAAGTGTTTCAACATGGGGCCATAGTCTAAAGGCAGCAGGCGGGCAACCAGGCTTCTCCAGTGCATAGTAGCAAGGTTAGTTCCGCCACAGGATGCTTTAGATCTCCTTTTTATATTGTGGCTTATAAAACCCCTGTCCCATAAAGAGTTAAGCCTTTCCCCCCATGGAAACATCAGGACATGGCGACTCACCAGTTGCGATCTTCATGCGGATACTTTGCAAGAGAAGACTAAAGTAAACCACGCCCGGTGTACATGTACAAAAAAAAATTATACGAACATAGGTCTTTAGATGGTAGTATACAATTGACCTAAAAAAATAAAAAGACAAAATAATAGTGCAGCAGAGTATGTAAAGTGCATATGTAGTAAATAAACTCTGACTCTCACTCACATTCTTTTGAGCTATCATAGAGCTCTGCTGTTTTGCTCATGGACGCAATAATCCCCATCTAAGGATATGTGGTGATGTAATCTCAGTTGCTCCAAATAAAGTACAATATACAGGATATATGCGGAGATAAATACCGGAAAAGAAGAAAAACTCCAATGGTGAAGTAAGAACTGGTGTACAATAGATGTGTAAAATAAGGTAAAGTACTCACATCTGCTAGAGCAGAACTTGCTCTAGTGTAAACAGCAAGGGTGGTATAATCCCCACCGCAGGATATGATGGCACCAGGAGATAGCAAGCAAATATGAAGGTATCTCTCTCTCATATATATGGGTTTCGCCTATCAAAGGCTTCTTCAGAAGTGTAGTTATGTCCTTGTAAAGTTCTGTTTATATAAGTTGATCTTGATTGAAGATGACTTCCTGGGGAGGGTAATTGTTGACCCAGAGATGTCTGTGAGAAACCAACCTCGCCACTGTACACTGGAGAAGCCCGGTTGCTCGCCTGCTCCCTTTAGACTATGGCCCTGCAGTTCAGACCTGTTATTTTCCCTGCTGAAAGGTTTATTCATGCCTTTCTGCCAAGGTGTTCGGTAGATTCCATCTACCGAACAAACTACCGAACGATGGACCACCTGGGAACTGGAGTGTGCGGTCAGTTGACCGCCCAGAAGCTGCGGTTAACCGCAGCTTAATTGATGAACGCTGGGAGGCCTTTGTTCGGTTGCCGAACGCGTGGCAGCGGCCATTTTACATCCCGAACGGCCGGCGTTGTTCAGCGCCTAAACTATGGAACTGAAAACAGACTCTTAATTGCGCAAACACCGCTGAGCCGCCAGCCTCCTTCCCATTTGAGAGCGGAACCGAATGACTGTTTGTTTGGTAGTTTAACCGGATGAACAGCATCACCCAGATAGCTAAGCCATGGAGCCTGTTCATGTAACGAAAAGACTATGTGAAGGACTTTGGCTCCATGGCGATTGAACTGTATGTATGTAATTCGGTAATAATGTGCGCTCAGATCTGAGCTATCTGGGGATATGTAGAACGTATATGTTTTATGTACTGAATGTAACTGTAGGTCATTTTATGTCTTTTACTGTTTGTTTTCTGCCGTGTGGTTAATGGAGTTTTGCAAAACGGTCCGTTACAATGTCCTTTTCCCATAGTGTGTGGGTAGCGCTGCAGTATTCTTAAGCCGATTTCTAAGCAGACAATAGATCCATTATAGATGTACAGTTCTTTTAAGAGCTAGTGGTTAAAGCAAGTATAGCTATTCCCTACAATCACGAGATGAGGCTGCGTGTTGAGGGTGAAGTAAACTGACTTTAATGGCACCACACTTGGCCTTTTATGACAATCTCCGTGCAAGGGGTACTCCCACCTGGGCCTGATGGAAGACTGTATTATATCCCCTGATAACCCTGATCTCGGTGAGCAATATATCCAAATATCACCCAGATCGGTTCAGGATTTTCATGGAAGTCTTATTTCTGACCGACTGGTCTCTTTCGGGAGCATTTTTTCACACAAAAAAAGACCAAAAGTAGCAGTTCGTGGGAAAACTAGTCGTGTGCCCCTCATTCGGGAGTTTGGATTCACCAAACGCCGCTTTCTTCAGATGTCTAGGAATGAACATTGGTTGAGAGTAGAAATCGTCGTCCGATAATAGTTCCAAACACTTGATGACCAAACACCGGTGGAAGCGTTTACAAAAACAATATTCACCGCCTCGTGTTCGTCTATACGAACGGCGGGTACCCAGCCGACCACTTATGTTCAAGTGTTTGCGGTTTGTGCAGTTGTTAGTGAGGTCAAGTGGGTCATCTAGTGGCACACATGTTCTGGTTGGTCCATGTGTTCGGTACTTAGTTCGGTATACGAACGAAATGGGCAACCTGTTCAGTTAGATTCATATACCGATCTATTCAAAGCAAAATTCTCATCCAGGAACAGGGGATCTATTACAGAGCCATTTTGAGTACAGTTCCAAAATTTCGACCATGTGAACTAGGATATTGTTTTGCTAGCATAATATCTTCATCCGACCAAGGGAGGAAGAGAAGAAATGTCACTACTTGGGTTTGGTCCGTTGACTATCTGTTTGAGTACTACCTCCTCCATCCAGAAATCCTTCCACTTATTTATTATTCCTTCAGGGAATAAAATAGGCCAAAAAGCCTGATCTTCTACCATATGCCCGTAGATTGTTTGTTTGTTTCTGGTCATCAAGAAACACCTTTGTTAACATCTGGATGTGGTCAGATCATCCAATTCCTCTTTTGGCAGAGACATTTCATCTGCAGGTCTTAATTGTTTTTCTAATGTGTTGTTTGCATTTCATTTATTATATTGTCCCTTTTTTTTTTTTCATAGTTCTCCCTTATATCTTATCTTGTGTATTATCCATGTATTGTTGCCATGGATAAATCCGGGAAAATGGATAATTAAATCCTACTTACTTTTATTTTAAGGAATAGGCTGTGGAAGGATTACACTCCCATTCTTTCTTTTATTTAATTTATGTCCTGTAGGTTTAGGAGAAGTTCCTTTTAATTTTTAATTAGGAAGTACTTCTGTCCAATATATCAGTGGGAGGAGCTATACCCATCTGTAATACTGCTGTAGCGGAGCTGCAATATTAAATCCCAAGATCTCCGCTGGTATAGAAAGTAATCCAAAGTAAAGCGTTGGAAAAGAAGGCAATATCCCAAATCCCCCAGTAACCGGACGAAACACAGTTCTGGGAGTCAACTGACAATTTTATTCACAGCTCCGGTATTTATGTGATTCTCCGTGCAAGGGGTTTCCTTAGTCACTTTACAGGGGTATTACAGTAGAGGATTACATGGGGAACTGAATATACAAAGCATTTCTCCCACCATGCACTGCTGTACGTGAGGGATACTCCCACTAGAATATCCTGTTAAGTGGATTATCCCTCCGTACAGCAAAACCGGGTTGTAACACAAAATGCTATAACTTTAATGTTATTCGTGTGATTCCCTTAAATGACTGTTCGGTAGATAGCTGGGGTCTGAGCGCACACTTCGTGAAAGTACCGCTCAGATCCCAGCATAAATAACCGAACTCCGCACAAAACACTCTTTTATATCACATTCTCATAAAAGTACCGAATACCTATTGAGAACAAAATACCGAAAGACCGGGGTTCCCGAACGGCCTGGAAGTCCAGTGGTGTTCGCGCCGTCGTATAGCCGATTTTAGTTCCAGGCCCTCGACGACCAAACACTGCTGGGCTAACAAAGAATCCAAGATGGCCGACCGCCACGTGGTCGGCAGCCGAACGACGGCCACCTAGGAAAGCACTTAACTACCGAATGCAACAATGTTGCAATCGGTTAATGGGAGCCACACGACCCTCTGTGTGTTTGCTCCCATTCGGTACTTTATTTGTTTCACGAACAGTGTCTAAAGTCACTGTTCGTGAAACTGCCATATGAATGCTAGCTGCTTTCAACCGTTAGCAAACGAATACTCTTTATTGCAAACACACACGAATACATCCTTCTATACAATAAAAGCAGACAACCTTCTGATGTTATACAGTAAGTCTTAAAGTGGCTAGGTTTGCCACAACTGCCATTAACTATATGTGGGGAAAATAAAATAAAGGTACCTATGATTCAATTTTCTGTTTGACTTGGTTCATGCAAAAGTTGAAATAAATTTAAGGTGACATTGTAACTTTTCTGAGCAAATTTAGGGAATTGTGTGAGCAATGGGCAGGGAAATATTGAATGTTAAAAAAAGATAATTCTTAGTTGTAGTGTGTCTTTCTCTAACTCCATCGATTAACATTCATTATGTAGAATTACATTGTTGTGAAGAGGCCTGCTGAATCCATGCTACAGTGCAGCAGCCCCTGTGTGTCCGATGGATGGAACAGGACCCTGAAACCCAGCACATTGCCTCCACTTCACTCCCTGATACATGAGAGAAACAATGACCAGAAGGTCCTGAAACTGACCAATCAGATCATCCACCTGCTGACTGGAGAGGTGAGGCTGCTGGGAATGGGACATCATAGAGTAAAACCAAGGGATGTGACTGTATCATTGTGTGTGCCGGGTTCCTGTTAGGTGTGAGGATGTCACTGTTTATTTTCCTTGTAGGTGTGGAAGTATTTAGAAGAACACAAGGAACCTTACAATGACTTAATGATTGACACTCACCAGCCTCTCAGCTCACTGGGTAAGAGGAAGCACTTTTTATATACATAGCTTGTGTTATAACTATTGAATTCCTAGCTCCAAATGTCCAGTATGAGGTCAGTATAGTAATCAAACCCCAGTATAGTGTGAGATCAATTTAGAGTGTCAGTTTGTTGTAATTTTGTATTATTGATTTTAAATCAGAGCCCGATTGCATGTATGTGACGTTACCTCCGTTCTCCAAAGGAGTATCTCCACCAGGTCAGTTTCCTAGCTGGAAAACATTCAAAATGTTCCAATTTATATAGATATTTTACCAGGAAGGATACTTTGAGATTTTTATCATTTTCAATATGTCCTGGGTTCACAAAACATTGCGTTGATGCAATATTAATACACAATATATACAACATTTAACATAGAACAGATAAAAAATATGTAATCAACCGTGACAGGTGCATTCTGTTTTGAGATGTGTAAAGAGGGATTTCTTTAAGGATTTTAAGCTTGGGGAAGATTTGAAAGTGTGCGGGAGGTCGTTCCATGACTGCGGTGCTCTGTAGGAAAGGAGGAATGAGCTGCTTTCTTTTTGTATTGAGGTAGACTAAATAAAGTGCTGGTACTGGATTGGAGGTTATAGGAGGTGTGAACAATTGGGGAGAGAATTCTGCTCAGGTAGAGTGGGTGCTTCCCAGAAAAGCTCTTAAACACAAGGCTGGAAAGATGAATGGTGCGTCTGGGTTCCAGCGACAGCCAGTTTAGTTCTTTTAGCATGTCACAATGGTGGGTCATGTAATTACATTGTAGCACAAAGCAGCAGAATGAGTTACGCTATAGTCACCAAAATGACTATAGCTTAATGAAGCTATTTTGGGGAATATATCATGCACCTACAGTCTCACTGCTCAATTCTCTGCAGTTTAGGAGATCACTTTATTTATGCACCATAGTCACACCTCCCTGCATGTGACTTGCACAGCCTTCCTAAACACTTCCTGTAAAGAGTCATCTAATGTTTAAATTTCCATTATTTTTTACATCCGGGCTGTGTGAGTCACAGCTTGGGGGGGGGGGGGTGTAGCTATGGCTGCATAGACAGAAACAAAAGTGATTTAACTTCTAAATGGCAGTGAAACTTCAGAGGCATGATACATACACTAAAGCTGTTTTGGTGACACTAATGTTCCTTTAAGTTTATTAAGGTGAGTTTGCGGTGCAGGTGCATATACTATATCCCCATAATCCATGATTGGCATCAGCATTTGCCGTACAATCTTTTCCTTTACTGTAGGGCTTAGGCAGGATTTGTTTCTGTTCAGGGCCCCGTGTGTGTGTGTGTGTATATATATATATATATATATATTTTATATATATATATATATATATATATATATATATATGGTGAAACAAAACAGAGGAAGAGTCTGCGCTAGTTCAATTGAGCAGCAACCCAAAAAGGGAGATCCCTCACGGAACCCTTATGTAGGAAATGCGAAAAAGGAGGGGGTCAAGGGCTGCGCTTAGGTAAAACAGATATGTTGAAATATATAAGATCGTGTGTACGTAAAATAAACAGCGATAATAAAATCAAATAAAGTTCATCCGGATTTTCTTAAAAATATAGAATAAAAACAGTCTCACTGATATGTAGTACCACGATATTAATCCTCAAGTATGGCTCCGTCCGTGTGGTAGATAGTCCATATATGTGAAGATAAAAAACAAGAAAGAAAGCTGCCTATGGTGAAATATTGTTGGTCCTGATGTAGTATATAATCAAAGGAAATATGTTTCACTCACATTTGGTGGAGCTTATTGCCAGCTCTGGGAGAAGAGGCACTTAGTGGTTTGATCCCCACTAACGGATATACTTAGATGGTCCGTCTGTCCAGCTTGGGATTCCTGTGGTGTCGGCTAGGATCTACTTCACATATACGTTGTTTTCTTGATGCTTGGAAGATAGGTCCGCCTTTCCAGTATCCGGTGGTAGGTGTCCACGGAGTATATATGAGACAGCAAAATAGTGCTCTCAGTTTGAACAACAAAGTAATATCTATAAGTGAATAATACTTACAAGAATAGAGCAGATGGATACTGCTCTATTGCCACAGCGCCGGTGGAATTATCCCCACCTAAGGATTTCTTTGGACGGAATATACTTCCAAGTAAAAAATAAAAAATAATAAAAAAAAGGTGGATAAAACTATGGTATTAAATACAAAAAATACATATGAAAAAAAATAAAAAAAAAATATATATATATAAAATTAAAAAGAAAGTATAAAAACAATAAAAATAAGTATACAATTGGTCCTAGTTTAAAAGGTAACCAAAAATAACTTTTATTGATTAAAATACACTTATTAAAACCATTTACGCGTTTCACCTTTGGGGTTTTCTCAAAATGGTAAAAGTAAAGTCTTTTACCATTTTGAGAAAACCCCAAAGGTGAAACGCGTAAATGGTTTTAATAAGTGTATTTTAATCAATAAAAGTTATTTTTGGTTACCTTTTAAACTAGGACCAATTGTATACTTATTTTTATTGTATTTTATACACTTTCTTTTTACCCCTGGCATTTTATATATATATATTATATATATTTTTTTTCATATATATTTTTTGTATTTAATACTATAGTTTTATCCACCTTTTTTTTATTATTTTTTATTATTCAATTTTTTACTTGGAAGTATATTCCGTCCAAAGAAATCCTTAGGTGGGGATAATTCCACCGGCGCTGTGGCAATAGAGCAGTATCCATCTGCTCTATTCTTGTAAGTATTATTCACTTATAGATATTACTTTGTTGTTCAAACTGAGAGCACTATTTTGCTGTCTCATATATACTCCGTGGACACCTACCACCCGATACTGGAAAGGCGGACCTATCTTCCAAGCATCAAGAAAACAACGTATATGTGAAGTAGATCCTAGCCGACACCACAGGAATCCCAAGCTGGACAGACGGACCATCTAAGTATATCCGTTAGTGGGGATCAAACCACTAAGTGCCTCTTCTCCCAGAGCTGGCAATAAGCTCCACCAAATGTGAGTGAAACATATTTCCTTTGATTATATACTACATCAGGACCAACAATATTTCACCATAGGCAGCTTTCTTTCTTGTTTTTTATCTTCACATATATGGACTACCTACCACACGGACGGAGCCATACTTGAGGATTAATATCGTGGTACTACATATCAGTGAGACTGTTTTTATTCTATATTTTTAAGAAAATCCGGATGAACTTTATTTGATTTTATTATCGCTGTTTATTTTACGTACACACGATCTTATATATTTCAACATATCTGTTTTACCTAAGCGCAGCCCTTGACCCCCTCCTTTTTCGCATATATATATATATATATATATATATATATATATATATAACCTCCAAAAAGAAAGCTAGCACTCAAGGACTTCAACGTGAAAAATATGGGTGTGACGGTAGTAATCTGTAGCATTCCCTTCTTCCCATAAAAGAATATCACCAAGTAATCCACAGGAATAAAGATCGCTGGTGTTGCCAAATAATCCGAATAGTCCGAATCTTCGAACGGGACTTAGTCTCCAGCCGCAGTGTCGAAGTGGAGTAGAAGGTACGGGTCAGCGGTGTTCGAGCAATTGGGTAGCCGAAAACAGTTCCATAGATTTGGCTGCACACACCGCTGACCTCGTTCGAATGAGTTAAAATGGCCGCCGCCACGTGTTCGGTATTAGAATGGCGGCCACTTTGACAACTTCGACGTTTCGGCACTTTGACTGCATCCGAAGGGCCAGGAACAACAATATAAGCCTCAAGTATGCCCACATCTTGTATTTAAAGGGCCAAACCTCCCAGGGACCATAATCACATGGCAAGAGGCTGGCAAGCTGTCCTCTCCAGGCACAAGTGGCGAGGTTAATTTCGCCACAATGGGCATTTAATCCAAGTAGTCAACGTTTCAGTTCACAGCTGTGAACTTTCCTCAGAACACACACATTTTTGTGTCCTGAGGGAAGTTCACAGCTGTGAACTGAGACGTTGACTACTTGGATTAAATGCCTATATTTTTCACATTGAAGTCCTTGAGTGCTGGCTTTCTTTTTGGAGGTTATATTTATATGCAGCTGAGCACCAGACCAAAACTTTGAGAGCTGGAGTGCAAAACTCCCATCGAATTGTATATGTGTATGTCCAAATGGGTTATGGTGGAGAAAAATTGTGACTGAAAACCATTTCCACCTGAAGTCTGTGGATAGTTAATACAATGTTAAACAAAAATCTGCACACCAGTCAAGCCATAAGACTTGTATTAACGATCCACAGACTTCAGGTGGAAATGGTTTTCAATCACAATTTTTCCCCACCATAACATATTTGGATTTTGATATATATATATATATATATATATATATATATATATATAACTCTTGTGTTATAACTATATATGTAATTGAATCTCTAGCTGCAAAAGTGCAGTGTGAGGTCAGTATAGTAATCGTACGTTGGTAAGCTGAGTTAAAATACTGCACCAATGTATTGTATTTTTTTAATTTTTATAAATGTTGATAAAGTTGAGGTAAAGTGTTACATGTTGTGAGGATATTTATGGGGTGATAAATATTAAAAATATTTTATAAATGCACTGGCCCTTCCTTCAAGCTGTTCTGCTCAAATATGGCTTTTTCCAGATACTTTCCTAAAGTTAGTAGGAGCGTTATACTCCAGACCGATAGCGAAAGTCACCAATGGGGGTTTTAGCTCTAAACAATTCCACATAACCAATGGGTCACGACAGGGCTTCCCACTATCGCCTCTCCTATATATTCTTTCGCTAGAACCTCTCACGCAACTCATTAGAGACAACCCAAATATACACGGTATCACGAGACAAGGCAAGGAACATAAACTCACACTTTTCGCAGACGACATCCTCTTAACGCTCGAGCAACCACACATATCCCTACCTAACTTCCACGATACACTCGCCCAATATAGCAAATGTTCCTATTATAAACTTAATGTAAATAAAACCCAAGCAATGGGTATAAACATTCCGGTGGAGGTCTTGGATAGGCTGCGTACCTCTTTCAAATACGATTGGCGAAACGATCATCTAAAGTTTTTAGGAATCAATCTCACCCCAAATTTAGCAAATCTTTTTAAAACAAATTATCAAAAAACACTGACTGAAATAAAAAATTTACTACTAGGATGGAAGAGTAAATTCAGATCTTGGTCAGGGAGAATTGCCGCAATCAAAATGATTATTGTACCTAAATTGCAATACTTGTTTAGAACATTACCCATAAAGATACCTACCACATTTCTACAAGAGGCTCAACAAATACTACTAAATTTCATATGGGACAAACAAAAAGCACGAGTAGCGAAAAGCACGCTATACATGCCACGCAAGAAAGGGGGAATGGGAGTACCCAACCTAGACAGCTACTACAGAGCGGCCATCTTAAGCCCCCTACTAGCAGCTTGCCACCAAGACCACCCAACCCAATGGATGGAACTGGAGGCGCAACATGCTAATAACATACCCATCAATATACTGGCATGGCTTCCCCAACACAGCAGTCCTACTACGACAGAATTGCTCCCAACCACAGCCCTCACTCTGACCGTATGGGACAAGTACTGCCGCACATTGGGCTGGTCAGGCAAAATATCGCCCGCCATGCCCATTAAAACATTACACTATATGATACCTAATTTTAATTACACTATATGGCATCGACATGGAGTAACACATTTACACCAGCTGCTTCAGGAACACACGCTCAGAAGTCTCACAGACTTAACAGCATGTTACAATTTGACCCCGATGGCATCCTTCCCCTACATGCAGTTGCATTCATGGCTTCGCAAGCAAACTTTGACAGGAACTGATAATGTACAGGGGCCACAGCTGACGGTGGTAGAGAAAATATGCTCACGTCTCTCAACCCCCAAAAGACTTATCTCTGAACTATACCAAACTATGCATCCCCCAAAAGACCACAAAAACCTTTCATTCATCGCCGCATGGGAGAGGGAATTCAAGTACGCTCTAGGTGAGAAACAATGGAATACCATAACCACCATTATACAAGACAGCACAAAAATACTACTTCCCCGCAAACCAGAAACATACCTCCTCCAACTTTTCCCTAAGAGGATGCGAGGCAGGCAAAAATACTTAATCTATCACATACTTATAGCCGCACTAACTGTCATTAGTAGACATTGGAAATCCACATTTCCCCCCCTTTTCATTCCTCCCCCTCGTCCCGTCCCCTATTCGGATCCTCCTCCACGGTTTACCCCCTTCCCCAGTGGTATATGGAACACTAAGGCTCTGCACCCTGCACCAAACACAAACCCAGGCGATTGCAAACCCGGAAGAGGCTAACATGAGCCCCCCTCTTATGGCATGGGGTAGACACTAATCGGTAGATCCACCCAGTGTAACACAATGTTTGCATGTAACTCTGCTGTATATGATAAATGTGTAAATTGATCTCAGGTCAATGTGTATGAGATACTTCAACTTACCACTGCTTCCCCATCCCTATTCTCTTCTGTATCCTTATAAAACCTCAATAAAAATTGTCAAAGATAAAAAAAAAAAAATTTTTATAAAAATTATCAAAAATTAATTTAATACTTTTTATATCAAAAACTGATATATTATCACTGTTTCCCCTTGATTGATTTAAAGCGAAGAGTATTAACTGTTTTAACTCTTTTATAGACCATGGAGTAAATTTATTAGAGAATTTGTCTGTAGCGGAGCTGCAATATTAAATTCCACGATCTCCACTGGTACAGAAGGTAATCCACAGTCAAGCGCTGAAAAGTAAGGCAATATCCCAAATCCCCCAGTAACCGGACGAGACACAGTTCTGGGAGTCAACTGAGGTTTTTATTCACAGCTCCAGTATTTATGCAAGTCCCCATGCAAGGGGTTTCCCTACTGACATAGCAGGGGTAATACCGTAGGGGACTACATGGGGGACTTAACATTCTGAGCATTTCTCCCATCAGGCACTGCTGCACGAGAGGGATACTCCCACTGGAACATACCGTTAAGTGGATTATCCCTCCGTGCAGCAGAACCGGCATGTTACATTTAAATCCATAACTTTAGCAATATTCAGGTTATTTAAATGAATGGACGTTCGGTAGATAGCTGGGGTCTGAGTGCACATTTCGTGAGAATACCGCTCAGATCCCAGCTAAAACAACCGAACGCCGCACGAAATACACTTTGCCATTGAGTTCGCCTAAAAGTACCGAACACCGATGGGGAACCACAATAGCGAAAGACCGGAGCTCCCGAACGGCCTGGAAGTCCAGCGGTGTTCGCGCCGTCGAGTAGCCGATTTCGGTTCAACGCGCTCGACGACCAAACACCGCTGGTGAGACAAAGGATCCAAGATGGCCGACCGCCGCGTGAACAACGGCCACCTAGGAAAGTCTTTAATTACCGATTGCAACAATGTTGCAATCGGTTAATGAGTGCCACACGTCCCTCTCTGTGTGGGCTATTAGGGGGTAGCTCATTCGGTTCACGAACAGCCAGTAAAGTCGCTGTTCGTGAAACAAAATACATGAATGCTAGCGGCTTTCGGCTGCTAGCATACGAATTCTATGCACATAGCAGTATAGACCAAGGTTACACATATATTACAGCGGTTATTACAGACAACCTTTTGATACAGATAGTCCAGCATCCTACAAGTGGCTAGGTTTGCCACATTGTCATTCACTCATTAATCACAACCATTTTTATAAAAAATACAATTTATTGTGACAAATAATGAAGAATAATAATAATAAGTAACATGCGTGGCCATAATCAATAAATATTTAGGTATAAAGATATATATCTATCTCAATAGCAACATATGTTAATTTAATTTCTAAAGGAGTTACATGCAAAATTACAAATAATTCCTCTAGATTTTAATCAACAGTTATAGACACAGAGATGCAATTTTAGCAAGATTTAATACAGAAATAACTCCGCTTTGAAATTCCCAGATTTTACTAGTAACATGACGTAAAGTCATGATTTTATTAAAGACACGGAGGCGAGTATTATGCATAACTCTTTCTTTATTTCCTCAGCAGCAAAGAAAGAGAAATATAAATATTATCAAAACTGAAGAAAAACTGTATAGGCACAACAGGTAGCCAATCACAGGATATAGGAAGTAGCTATATAAGTCTTGTGTCTCCCACAATCCCCCTCTTTCTTGCGAACCGAAGACCAGGTAAGATGAACGATGTCCCACTTGGTCGAAACAGGGTAACGGGAAACGATGCGACAAATTCAAGCTAAAAAAGATAGAGAAATATGGTAATTTCTTAATTCAGAACTGCAAACTTACCAAACATAGTCTTGGGGAGACACAGGTAAAACAGAGTTCTGAAATATAAAAACAACAGAATTAGTACACAACATAAAGGTACAACAACCCGTACAAAAGATGCAAATCAAACTGATAGAGTACAGACCAAACTGAAAAACATACCTGTAGAGCCACCAAGCATCTCGTATCCCAACTCCACTCCGGGAGGGTGGGAGGGAATAATACTCGCCTCCGTGTCTTTAATAAAATCATGACTTTACGTCATGTTACTAGTAAAATCTGGGAATTTTATTAAAGACACGGAGGCTCATATTATGCAAGTTCAAAGCTGTGCCACCACACGAGATGCGATGTGCTCAATTGGTCTGAAGTAGAAGGCTCGGAAGGTCGATTCCCGAGACCAATCCGCTGCTCGCATAATGTCCTCTAGGCGACATCCGACTGAAGAGGCTTTCGAGGCCATCGCGCCCCTTACAGAATGAGGCGTAAATACTGAGGTGTCTATACCCGCGGAGGATAGCAGCCAGCGCACCCAACGTGCTAGAGTAGGAGTCGAAACCGGCCGGTGAGGTGATTTAAAGGATATGAACAGATCGTGCAGGTCTGTCATGCGAAGGGGACGTGTAACATCCAGATAGTCCTTGATGCAATCCACCGGGCAGAGCGCTGGACAGTCTGAAAACCTAGGGTATGTAAGTGACTTAGACGCAGACTTGGTCCTCCTGGAAATGTCAAAGGTGACGCCTTCTGGGGTGAGTGCAACGGCGTCCCAGTCCAGGGCCCGAACGTCAGAGACTCTTCTGCAAGAAATCAGGCACAGTAACATAACCAATTTGGCAGACAATTGCTTGAGAGTCAGCTCCAAATTGGGGTACCATGACGATAGGAACTGTAGCATCACGTTGACGTCCCAAAAGGTGGCAAAACGAGGTCGAGGAGGACGAGCAAGGCGAATACCCTTGAGAAGTCGACAGACAAAAGGATGCTTGCCGACCGGAGAACCGTCTAGACCTTCGTGACCGGCTGAGATAGCTGAGCGGAAAAGGTTGATCGTGCGGTATGCCTTGCCCGAATCAAATAGGAACGTGAGGAACTCCAGAATCAAAGGCAGAGGGGCAGATACGGGATCCATTGCCCGTTCCATGCACCAACCAGACCATGATCTCCATGAATGTCGGTAAGCTGTCCGTGTACCCGGGGCCCAGGCGTTATCGAGGAGTCGGAGAGTTGACTGCGAAACGTCTGGGATAACCCAAGGTCCCCTGAAAGGAACCACGCTATGAGGGGTAGCTGATGCTGCAACACCAGGTCGTGAGAGTTCCCATCCGGATCCAGAAGGAGGTCTTGGAATACCGGAAGCAAACGAGGGTAGTCTATGGACAGTTCCATCAGCCGAGGGAACCATGGGCGAGACCTCCATAGAGGGGTGATCAAAGCCATCCGACAATCGTGGCGGACCAGTTTCGAGATCGTGCGTGCGATCATGTTGAATGGGGGAAAGGCGTACATCAGACCCGGTGGCCATTCCTGGAGGAAGGCATCTGTCGCTATTGCAGCCGGGTCCGGCCTCCAACTGTAGAACCTTGGTAGCTGAGTGTTCAGGCGTGACGCGATTAGGTCCAACTGGAACCGGCCCCACAACCTGTTCAGGCACCGGAACACTGAAGCATGTAGATGCCAGTCCCCGGAGTCCCGTAAGTGTCTGGAATTCCAATCCGCCCCCGAATTGTCCAGACCTGGGATGTGTTCCGCCGTCACCGAAACGTTGTTGTAGAGGCAGAACTGCCAAAATTCCTTTGCCAGAGTCGCCAACATTTTGGATTTCGTGCCCCCTAGGTGATTTATGTAACGAACCGCTGATACGTTGTCCATCTTGAGGAGAACGCAACAATTCGCCCTCCCCGGAGCAAGGCTGCGGATCGCGAAGGCACCTGCCAGAAGTTCCAAGCAGTTGATGTGTAACGACTTCTCTGTGTCGGACCACCTGCCTCCTGTGGAGACGTTGCCACAACGAGCGCCCCAGCCGTGTAAGCTGGCATCGGACTCTATCACCACATCCGGGGCAGAACCGAAGATGGCTCTTCCGTTCCATGCCTCCATGTGCGCCAGCCACCACGCTAGTTCGTCCCTGGATTCCTCGTCTAGCGTTATCCGAGATTCGTATGAATGACCGGAGCGAAGTCGTGATCCCTTGAGCCGTTGGAGCGCTCGGTAATGCAGGGGGCCTGGGAAGATTGCTTGAATAGAGGCCGCGAGAAGGCCGATAATTCTCGCCAGTTGTCTGACCGACAAATCTGGAACACGGAGGGCTCTCCGAATTTCCTTCTGGATGGCTTTCACCTTGGCATCCGGGAGGAACAGGAACTGTTGGATGGAATCCACTTGAAAACCCAGAAACTCTATGGACTGGGCAGGGACCAGGACTGACTTGCTCCAATTGATCAGAAATCCCAACTTCTGCAGAAGGTCGGTCGTCCATCCCAGGTGTGTGAGGAGATCCTCTCGTGACTGGGATAAAATCAAGATATCGTCCAGGTAGACAATGAGGCGAACCCCCCGGGTTCGGAGGAATGTCACCACGGGCTTCATGAGCTTGGTGAAGCACCAAGGGGCCGAGGAGAGACCGAAAGGCAGGCAGGTGAAGCGCCAGCGACGCCCATGCCAGGTGAAGTGGAGATAATCCCGGAACTCCAAAGCGATGGGGACCGTAAAGTAGGCGTCCTTCAGGTCCAGCTTGGCCAACCAGTCCGATTGACGTAGGAGGTCTCTGAGGCAGTGTATACCTTCCATCTGGAAGTGTTGGTAGCGTAGAAAAGCGTTGAGTGGGCGAAGATTTATGACAGGGCGAACTCCGCCTCCTTTCTTGGGCACTAGGAATAAATTGCTCGTAAAGCCTGGGGCGGCGAACGGCAACTCCTCTATAGCGCCCTTGGACAGCATCTCCACCACTTCCGTGGAAATCATCTCGTCCTGCTCCGGAGGGAGGGACAGTTCTCTGGGGGGATAAAACTGGACAGGCATGGAAACAAACTCCAGACGAAAACCCCTTACACATTGTAAAACCCAAGCATCTGAGGTGATCCTTGCCCATTCTTGACAAAATAAGGCCAGTCTCCCCGCCACCCGAACTTGAGCGTGAGGGAAAGAAAGGGTACTCACCGTAAGGACGTCTGCCGGGGGTACCACCGCGGGGGTATCTGGATCCCCAGGCCCGACCTCTTGCCGGGAAGAAGGGAGGGGCCCTCTGTTCCTGAAATCCTCTCGAGGGAAAGAAGGAACCTCTGGTTGCGCGGAACGCGCCTCGGAAACCACGGCCGGGTGGATGGTTCCTGCTACGCCCGGCCCCTCCGAAAACCTTAGGCGCGAACACGCGCTTCATGTTCGCCTGTGCCTTGTCAATAGCCGTAAAGGTCTTGACATAAGCACCCATATCCTTGACGAAGGACGTGCCAAACAGGAAGACCCTCCTCAGTTGGATCAGGCTCCGCCACAGTCATAGCGGCCAATTTAGGGTCGATCTTCAGGAGGATCGCCTTGCGTCTTTCTGTAGACATGGCCGTATTGGCGTTCCCCAGTAAGCAAATAGCTCTTTGGACCCAACCAATGGCCACATCCACGTCCAGGACGGAGTCCCCGGTCCTGGCAGCATCCAAAAGCTCGTAAAGCTTGGAAAGGGGGCCTAGGGTATCCAGGATCTTGTCCTGGCAGCTTTTAAGGGAGTGGTCAAGGCCCTTCTTGGGCTTCCATCCTGACTTATTCAGGAATTGAGCAATTTGCGGGTCAATGTCCGGGGTTTTGCAAGCCGCGCCCGGGAGGGACGGGCGTGGGCACTCGGCGCGCAATTTATTGCGGCCTTCCCTAGAAAGTGGCGTGCGGATACGCTTAGCCACATATTGGGCGATGTGATCTGGGGGAACCCACTCGGCGGACCGAGGATGACGTAGGTCGTCTGGGTCAAACAGGGGGTTGCCCTGTGGGTCAAGGATCGAGGTGTCACCCCCCGGGGGAGCAAGTGAGGGACCCCGGGTATTGGCGGAGGACCCGGAGGGGTTCACGCCCGTAAGGGGCAAATCCTCGCCAGAATCATCATGATCAAAGGAGTCGTACTCCATAGCGTCGGACTCATCCTCCACACTCCGGTCGGTATCCGACCCAATATCATGGGCTCTAGCCCTTTTCCATAGTCTAGCCTTTTTAGCCCGGCCAGGGGCTCTTTTGCGCGTGGGGTGCGCGCCAGCTGAGACCGCCTCAGGCGTGTCAGTCATGGCAGGTAGAACCTGCATCGAGGAGTGGGAGCCGACATGTTTGGATTAAGCCTTTGCCTTACGGGCTCCAGGCACGGTTTGAGCAGGGGAGAGGGCAGGGGTGGCCATGGCAGGTAAAATCAGAGAGTGCAGGGACTGGGAAAAATTTGAGGAGACAGCTCCCATGGCTGAGGCAATAGCCTTCTGGATGGAGGAAGCCATAGTGGCCTCTAACATGGCTTGAAACTCTTGGGAGGCCATGGCACCATCAGTATTATCTAATTGGAAGTCCCCTGGGGGACCAACAGGCCCATCACCCCTATCCTGCATGGTAGTGACAGTGGGGGACAGAATAGACAGACCAATGAGAATTTAAATAGTAAAATAATTAATGCAATGGAAATTTATATAGGGGCCAATGAAACTGACTACAACAAATCAGGCTGAATAACACCAGGGTGTTAGCTGGGAGAGAGAGGGAAGGGTTGATTAACCCACAAGGAAACAGAAAAACAGAAAACAAACGTTTTGGCTGGTGTCCCCAGGGAGCAGGGCTACGAGGTGGCCGGTCACACGGCAGCACTGGGAGGAATACAAAGACCGCCCCCAAAATGGCCGCCGCACGAGGGAAGGCACACGAGGAAACACTCGGCGGGGGAAGGGGCTCGTGCACCCGCCCGCCGAGCCGACACGCTATCTGGAGTAAGGGGGGAGGAGAGAAGCGTGTACACCGCCGCGGTCGCGAGGAGATCGCGGCCGCGGCACAGCAGGTCGGGTCCCGTGTAGAAGCACGGGTAGGAGAGGGAGAGAGAGGAGGGGGGGGGTGGGGACCGCCCGGACGGGGCAGTGACACACCCGCGGGCCCAGAGGGGAGACACCAGCCGAGGAAAACACAAAAATTAAAACAACATCACAAACAAATTCAAATAATAATAAAACAAAACAAAACAGCATGTAAATTATAAAAAGAAACACACTGTAAGACAAGTCAAAATGAAATCACAATGCAAGCCAGAGATCAGAAAAACACTTATCTGTCTGAGGAAGCAGCAAAGAAAGAGGGGGATTGTGGGAGACACAAGACTTATATAGCTACTTCCTATACCCTGTGATTGGCTACCTGTTGTGCCTATACAGTTTTTTTCTTCAGTTTTGATAATATTTATATTTCTCTTTCTTTGCTGCTGAGGAAATAAAGAAAGAGTTATGCATAATATGAGCCTCCGTGTCTTTAATAAAATTCCTTTACACAGAACACATCACCGCATTACACAGCAGTGCAGCTTCTGTCGTAAAAAAAACCCCAAACTATTGCTATCAGTTTGAATCACACTGAGTTAACTCACTCACTGCTGGCTACAATTCTCACAGGAAACACTTTTAACATTGTAATTAACATGTACAAAGCCAGCAATACCCCAACAGCAGAGACCGGCACAAGAAGAATAACTGTATAATATGCATGTGGCACTGTAAGATCATAGCACCAGTTTTTTAATTTATTTATTTATTTTTGATAGTCAGGCTGGGTTCATACATCTAAAATGAATAGGTTCAACTAAATGAAAATAAAAATATTTGCAAGACTTTTCTAGACATATAGGTTGGTAGCAGAAAAATAATATATAAAACAGGTTAAATTGGCATGTCTGAGAATTGGGTATGCTCTTTTTACATTATAGATTATAGGCAGGTAGGTATATTCAGACATTGAGATCGCTCACTAATCGTAAATGCTCTCGACACAAGCTAGGATATCATGAGAATCATTGGTGTGTAACATGATGTACTAATTTTATTAAAACTGGCATGATGTGCACACTTAATGAAACCTAGAATGTGACGGCAGATAAGAACCATTCTGCCCATCTATTCTGCCCAATTTTTAAAAATACTTTCATTAGTTAGGATAGCCTTATGCCTATCCCACGCATGCTTAAACTCCTTTACTGTGTTAACCTCTACCACTTCAGCTGGAAGGCTATTCCATGCATCCACTACCCTCTCAGTAAAGTAATACTTTCTGATATTATTTTTAAACCTTTGTCCCTCTAATTTAAGACTGTCCTCTTGTTGTGGTAGTTTTTCTTCTTTTAAATATAGTCTCCTCCTTTACTGTGTTGATTCACTTTATGTATTTAAATGTTTCTATCATATCCCCCCTGTCTCGTCTTTCCTCCAAGCTATACATGTTAATTTCCTTTTTAACCTTTCCTCTGAAGTTTTATCCTGCAATCCATGAACCAGCTTAGTAGCCCTTCTCTGAACTCTCTCTAAAGTATCAGTATCATTCTGAAGATACGGTCTCCAGTACTCCGTACAATACTCCAAGTGAGGTCTCACCAGTGTTCTGTACAATGGCATGAGCACTTCCCTCTTTCTACTGCTAATACTTTTCCCTATACAACCAAGCATTCTGCTAGCATTTCCTGCTGCTCTATTACATTGTCTGTCTACCTTTAAGTCATCTTAAATAATAACCCCTAAATCCCTTTCCTCAGATGTTGCGGTTAGGACTCTATCAAATATGCTGTACTCTGCCCTTTGGTTTCTACATCCAAGATGCATTATCTTGCACTTATCCACATTAAATGTCAGTTGCCACAACTCTGACCATTTTTCTAGTTTACCTAAATTATTTGCCATTTGGTTTATCAACCCTGTTACATATCTTAGTATCATCAGCAAAAAGACATACCTTACCATAAAGACCTTCTGCAATATCGCTAATAAAAATATTAAAGAGAATGGGTCCAAGTACAGATCCCACTGGTGACAAGTCCATGCTTCGAATATATTCCATTGACTACAACACTCTGTTGCCTGTCACTCAAACACTGGCTTACCCATTCATCAATATTGGAATCCAAACTTAAAGATTGCAGTTTATTGATAAACCTTCAATGCGGGTGCACCCAGTGAGAACGGGGATATCCACCCCCTGTCCAGGCGGGGGTAGGGGGAACAGGGTTGTACAGGCTTTTGTGCCAGGTTTAAACCCGGGGCTGTGGGGGTTGGCCGCCTCCCACGTCCTCCAGACAGTTGACTTCAGTAGGCTGCAGATTGAGGTACTGTATGATTCAGGATCGGTGTGTAGCAGTGGATAGTAAGGATGATACCCAAGTGGCCCAGTGTTGTGTTCAACTGGATTAAACTAGGTATTTCCACAATTTTAGTTCAAGTTGGCAGGAGTAACAGAATACACATCTAGTAATCTTAATTGTAAGGCCCCCCACCCCCCAAAAGAATAATTCTAATCAGATTTTTAAACTCTCCTGATAAAAGATTAACTATCCCTAAATTCAGATAAGCCAATATCTCTGGATAATAGTTTGATATGCTAAACTTGGCAAATTACCAATGCTCCTGACGACGGCATGCTGACACGCGAAACACGCTTCGAGCTATTTGTTTGTTGTTTTATTTCTTTCACTACACTTTGGTAGCACTATGCACTAGGTTTTGTAGTTAGTTGTTTTTGTTAGATTTTTTTAGTAGAGGAAGGGACAGAGGTTCTGGTAGGCATTAGTAGCTCATCCACGGTGCCGAGGTACTACAGGGATAGACTTTACCTTAGTGTTCGGCTGTGGGGGGGGTTCATTTCTTCAGCGTCTCCCTACCCCTCCCTTTGCTTTTTACCTCTGTATATACTAGTCCACTGTCTAGGCAGGTGGACATTATTTTTCAGCCTTTTTGACTGATCCCCACACAGCTTTTTTTTTTTTGCTGTGTGTGTGTGTATGTGTGTTTTTATATATATATATATATATATATATATATATATATATATATATATATATATGCCCCTGTGTATGGTAGTTATCATACACTTTTTTTGCCCTCCCTTCCTCTATTGGTTGTTACTATTTTTCGTTTCCCTTTAGGTTTAATAATGGTAGGGCTTCCCTTTTCATATGTGTTACTCTCCACCTGAGGAAGCCGTCGTCATGGCGAAACGCGTGATCGCGCCTATCCTACGTCATCACGCACACCAACGGAAGAAACCTCGCCCCCGGAAGCATTGAGGTGTACTGGCGTCCTGAGCTCAGCTTGCGGCAGGACTCTGGGATATATGAATGACTCTGCCCCCGTGAGGAATAAAGGAGAAGGGTCTTTCCAGTTTGGGCTGCTATTGAAAACAGAGATTTTTAAACAAGATTTTTTTATTTATTTTTTTGAGTGCAATAAAGGTGTGTTTTTATCTGGATCGACTTTGAAGCTTTGCTTGCATCTCCATTGGGATTATTACCTAAGGCCATTACAGTCAGAGCAGACTCATCTCCTCTGCGTTTGTGAGTGTACAATTTTACTCTTTTACAGTATACTCCTGTTTAAATTTTATTACACTATATTCTCTTCCTTGTTTGTTCCCCCTTCTCCCCCTTCTTTTTCTTTTTATAAAGATATTAAAGTATCGCTGTTTCTGCTATCAAGAGACCGTTTTTGTGGTGCAAGTATTGTTTTTTAAGTAATTTGCACGTTTGGCATACTACACTTATGCACAGTTTTCACTTAAATATTATCATTAAGGTGTGCAAAATAGTGTTTTATAAGGGCTATATTGACTGTTTGGGGTTTTTTTGGGGTTTTTTTTTGTTTGGTTTTTTTTTTTTACAATCTTTAAATACACTTGCACTTTTTTATATTGTATATTTAAAGACAGCGCACGTCTGATATATTTTAACCGTTACTCTCCACCTGGACTACTAGTCAGTTTTCCTCTATTACCAGTGAAGATATTGTTCCTTTATTCCACTTGCAGGAATAGAATGTGGAATAATATATTTTCTCCGCTAATTAATATTTTCAAAGGTTTGAAATCTGATCAGCTTTTTAGTCAAAATGTATTAAATTAAATTAACCCATCATATTTACCAGCTTTCTTGGTAGAAATTCTTTAGGCTTGGAGATATATTCCATGAATGGTGGATGCAAGTATGAGTATGTGTTTAAATGGAGATTGAGTAGTTTAGAAAGTTCTGATTAGTAAAGGATTTTATTGAAGTCCCATATTCAGTTGGAAAAGACAGAGTGTCAGAGTTCCAGAAATTAGTTGTAAAAGATAGTGAGATGTGTCCAGACACCCTTCAGTCCATCTGCTTTTATGTTAATGATCACTTTTGATCTAGTCTCCGGCTATCCTCAATTTCTAAGGAAAATCTTATCTTAATTTTATTTACGTCACTAATTCAAAGTAACCAATGGAATCAGGTGGGTGTAACTTCTTCTATTGATTGTTATATAGACTTTGATCAGTAGGTGGCGTTTTAACACAACAAGAAATTCTCTTTACGAATTCCAACTACCACTTTGTATAAGGGGTTAATTGAATTTTGTGATGCGTTTGATGTCACAAATCCCATCTTTTATGGGTACCCTTCATCATGTATCTGTCAGTCTTCAAAGAATTCTCTTAGACTAACAGTCTCCTTTTTGGGCTGTAAAGTATGATTTTAACGCATCTGGACGCTGTTTCGCCTTTCTCTTATTATAGATCCTTGTAGCATCAATTAAATAAAAAAAGTAAAATTAATTACTTTAGCATTATCTCTTTTTCTTAGTCTTGTGTCTGGTTTTCTTAGTGACACTAAAAGAAGAAACCTTTTCTCTGGTCAATGTTTACGTTAGCCGCAATCCTCTAGACCAGGGGTGGGCAATCTTCGGCCCTCCAGATGCTATGGACTACATCTCCCTTGATGCTTTGCTAGCATTATGGCCCTATGAGCATTATGGGAGATGTAGTCCAAAATATCTGGAGGGCCGATGATTGCCCACCCCTGCTTTAGAGTGAGAATGAATAGAGTTAGTGAGAAACAAAAACTGCTAAGTGGTGACTTACAATATACATTTTTAATTTCAATCTTAACACAAAATACCTGACACTGCACTTATACAGCCTGACTGATATGACTGAGGACCAATTAACACACAAATGAAATAACCTCCATGTTTAGGAAAGTAGGGTGTAATCTTTGGAACAATTTAATATTTGGATTTCCAGAGACAAAAGGGCAGGAATAGAGCAAGTAAAGGCAATATACAGTGGTCACAGAGCCTTTGCAGAATATGCAGTGGCTAAAAAATGGAACACAGAATTAAAGGGACACTCCAGGCACCCAGACCACTTCTGCCCATTGGAGTGATCTAGGTGCCAACTCCCACTACCTTTAACCCTCAATGCTTTCCTATGGGGAGGTCTAATGCGCGTGCGCTGCATTGCCAAGCATGTGCAATAGGTCGCTGCCGCCGGCCGCACATTCGCAATAGGTCTCCCCCCACCGGATGACGTCGGTGGGGGAGGAGTTTAGGCACAGCCTGACCCAGCACCAAGGAACATCGGCACTGGATACAAGTAAGTCACTGAAGGGGTTTTAACCCCTTCAGCAACTTGGGATGAAAGGTCCTTTTAAAGGGCACAATAGTCACCAGAACAACTACAACTTAATGTAATTGCTCTGGTGAGTATAATCATTGCCTTTAGCCATTTCTATGCAAATATGTATGAGTTCATTAAAACTCCTACATAATTCTACAGAGAAGATATGTGTATACACCTTCCAGGGTTATCCACTAAACAAAAGACATTCCCTTCCACCCATCAGTCCAGACAGTGCACCAAGAGATTGAAACCCCAAATTGAAGTTTTGCTTGGACTGGGAGTAGGATTCCCTGATTTCAAACTCTCTCCAGTCATTTAGATGCCTAACAAATAAAGTGTTGATCCTTTTTAATATCCTGCTAGAATATAGAATTCAAGAAATCTAAACAAATGTTGGCACTCAGACCTGTAATCGAGTGCAGATGTCGAGGTTGCCCACCTATAGACAACCTCAAAATATAAATACAAAATCTTCGGTAGCACTCCTATAGAATTCAAGAGGCTCATTCTGATCTTCATCTTCTATAAGTCCTTTCACATAACACTACTCTTACGTTGCCAGTCCGCGATAAGCCTCATCCTGGCATTATGTGGCTGCATGTCACATCTTGACCCCGCAGAGTTCTGACGGCTCTTTAACACCGCACCGTGGTACAACTTTGGGAGCCATACAGGCAACTGACAGTTCAGTGAGAAATGTAAGTGGTATATGGAAAAAACAAACCAAAGCTTGACAGTTTTGCAATACAATCACTGGTATGCATTAAAACATAAAAACACAATATATAATCAAGGATAAAACTTTTTGAATCAAGGAAAAGTTTCAGAATTTTCATGCAGCCAAAACATTACTGAATCTCACTCAAGCACTCTGTCTGGATCTCTGTGTCCCACGTATTACTCCAGTAGTGGTCTTCCTTACATGATAACCCTCCTTCTGCCAAACATTCTCCTTACACCCCCAATTGGACGGTTGTGTTAAAGGGGCATATTCATTCTATCCAGCAACCTTTTCATTCAGTTCAATTTCTTTAAACCGCATCATGCCGCTGTTGGGGAAAATATTATGTATATATCTGTTTAATATGTGCTTGATTAAGTCTGTGTGTATGGGAGGTCAGGAATTATCTTCAAAGGGAGTTTCTGTTTAGATAGCTGGAAAGATACAGCACCTTAAAGGCACCAATCACATTTACATATCAACTGGTCTTCAAAGGAGTCCCTATCTAGAAAAAGTCCAGGGACGAGCTACAAAATTGATAAAAGGAATGGAGCATTTTAGTTATGAAGAAAGGTTAAAAAAATTACATCTGTTTAGTTTGGAAAAACGGCGCCTGAGAGGGGATATGATAACTTTATATAAATATATTCGGGGCCAGTACAAACCTTTATCTGGAAATCTATTCATAAACAGGGCTATACATAGGACACGAGGTCACACATTTAGGCTGGAAGAAAGGCGAATTCATCTAAGGCAAAGAAAAGGTTTTTTTTACAGTAAGAGCAATAAGGATATGGAATTCTCTGCCTGAAGAGGTGGTTTTGTCAGAGTCCATACAGATGTTTAAACTGCAATTGGATAAATACTTACAAAAACATAACATACAGGGATATCATTTCTAATTAGTGGGGTAATAGCTTCTTGATCCAAGGAGACATCTGACTGATATTTTGGGGTCAAGAAGGAATTTTTTCCTAGTTTGTTGCAAAATTGGAAGCGGTTCAGACTGGGTTTTTTGCCTTTTTTTGGATTAACAGCAACAACATATGTGAGGAAGGCTGAACTTGATGGACACAAGCCTCTTTTCAGCTATGTAACTATGTAACATCTGTAAAGACAGGAATATATTCTCTTTTAGTGTGCATACACCTCTTTTCAACTTCAGTCTGGACTGGTATTAATTGTTTACTTTATCCTTTTTTTTTTTTTTCAAAAACATGTTTTATTGGTCAGATTCCTCACAAATTGGGCCCTGTCTTGTCAGATAAGTGGTGTGACTGGTCCTAGAGGGGTAAGAATGGCAGCCCCTACAGAACGAGAGTAAGGCAAGAGATGCACTGAAAAAGTTGTTTACTTATATGTACTCGTTGGTAAACAATACACGTGTCCCTGTTTCGTGTAATCTCTTCTTTTCAGTAATCATAGATATGACTGCTTTCCTTCACCTCTGACAGAGACACACCAGCTTCAGAGTTTAACTGCATTTTTCTTATTTTTGTCTTTTGTGACAGCAGTGCTCAATATTTTACCATCATGTCCTGGATCGTTAATCCTTTAGTGTATTTACAGAATGCATAATAAAATAGATAAAAGGAAGGTTTGTCATTCTATTTGTTTTCTTTCCAGCAGATCTCAACTTAAGTGAAACCGATGATTTACCCATCCATGTTCTGTCAGCAAATTGTGTGACCGAAGGTGAAGGTACAGTTAATCAGGGAGAAAATTCTATGACTTTTAATGACCGAAGCACGAAACCCAGCACGTCTGTTAGACCTGAAATATTGTTATATGAAGAGAGAAATCTATCAGCTGGAGACATTTACTCACTGAAAGAATGTTCACAAACAAAATCTCCATCAGCCTTTAATGTGAAGGAATCCGTCTCAAGAAACGACAGAAATCTCACAGACACTGACATTATTACACCCACAGAACAGACACAGTATCCATCTACTCGTATTAAGGATGAACTAACCTCGTGTAGAGAGGATAATCTCACAGACACTGACAGTTATACTAACACAGAACAGAGAGAGTATCCATCCACTTATATTAAGGAAGAATTTGCATCATGTGACAAGGGAAATCTCACAGACACTAACATTTATACACCCACAGAACAGACACAGACAGACTGTTCTGATATTCATGTTAAGGAGGATCCAGCATCATATGAAGAAGGGAATCTCCATAACCTGGACATTCAAACCCCTGTGTGTGATCCTGTGAGACAATTTAAGGGCATAACCTATAACTCTGATGGTCCTGACCTTTCACTCACAAATTTAAATCAAATAAAAGTGGCTTGTTCTGAATGTGGGGAACAATTCACTTGTAAAACAAATTTCATTGGACATCGATGTTTACAATCAAAATCACATGTTATCCGGTGTCTCAAAACTTGCCACGGAGTTAAATCACGTTCCCGAATTGAACATGAGAAACATAGTCAGACAAAGTCTCTTCCCAAACGTCATCTCATTCATAATGGAGAAAAGCTAAAACTGAAAAACTATTGTCCTGAATGTGGGAAATACTTTAAAAAAAGTTCATCTCTTAAGTTTCATTGGAGGATTCACACAGGAGAGAAACCATTTTCATGTTCTGAATGTGGGAAATGTTTCAGTCAGAAAACAGCTCTTATTGGTCATGAATGGACTCATAGGGAACAGAAACCTTTCTCCTGCTCTGAGTGTGGAAAATGTTTCTGTCAGAGAGGTAACTTTAATAGACATCTCAAGATTCACACAGGAGTCAAACCATATTCATGTTCTGAATGTGGAAAATGTTTTAATCTGAAAAGCTCCCTTGGTAGACATTTGGTGATTCACACAGGAGAGAAACCATTTTTATGTACTGAATGTGGGAAAGATTTTGCTCAAAAAAGCCAACTTAAGTCTCATCAAAGAGTTCACAACAGAAGTAAACCTGAAATGAAGAATATATAATCTTTGAAAAGTAGAATGAGTGTATAAATAAAATAAAACCGCTCATTAAACTTGTTACGGCACCCCCAGGCATAATAGAGTTAAACCGCCATTTAGGAGATATTCCCTTCCAGATAGACAGGCAGCTACTGCAGAACAACAAACTCTCGAACTGAATACAAGGGAATTCTCCAAACTCCCGAACTGCATACAAAGTAGAACTCCCGAACTGGAACCTCACGAATAGCTGCTAGCAGACGAACAGGAAAAGCACCTAAGTGGCTTACACTCCTGGCAATCAGTCTCTAACAGCATACAGTAAATCCCCCCCCAAAGACGAGCAGTGGTCTGGTTTATTGAGGTCTCCCACATGGTGGACACTCCCCTAGGGGACCAGATGGAAGACTATAACACAGACAGAGCTCCAGGGAGCTCCATAACACCGCCACCTAGCGGCCGCTAAGTGTAACCGCGGCCACCCAGTAACAGTCAATTAAGCTGCGGTTAACCGCAGCTACTGGGTGGTCAATTGATGGCACACGCTAGCTTCAGGGAGGTGAATTGAAGGCACATGCCAGCTTTCTGGTGGTCTCGCCTTCTGTATTTTGTTCGGTAGATAAAATCTACCGAACGCCCTGGCAGAAAGGCATGAATAAGCCTTTCTGCAGGGAAAATAAAGTATTATAGGCTCCTCCAATGCACAATGGCGAGATTGGTCTCTTTACAAAACTGAATAAAATTAGACCTGTTTAAAAAAAGGTTTGTCCTACAATAAATTCAGGTTGTGTCATAGCAATTTATACATTTCCCCGCATCACAGAATAAAGTCATTATGTAATCATCACGGGAACTGTCTGAGCGCCATAACACGACCACTTAAAGGACCACTGTAGTGCCAGGAAAACATACTCGTCCCCCTCCCGCCCGGCTCTGGAAAGGGGTTAAAACTTACCTTTTTCCAGCGCTGGGCGGGGAGCTCTCCTCTTCCGATCCTCCTCCTCCTCTGCCCATTTGGCTGAATGCGCATGCGCGGCAAGAGCTGCGCGCGCATTCAGCCGGTCGCATAGGAAAGCATGTACAATGTTTTTCTATGGACGCTTGCGTGCTCTCACTGTGATTTTCACAGTGAGAATCACGCAAGCGCCTCTAGCGGCTGTCAATGAGACAGCCACTAGAGGAATTGAGGGCTGGATTAACCCATTTATAAACATAACAGTTTCTCTGAAACTGCTATGTTTATAAAAAAAAAAAGGGTTAATCCTAACTGGACCTGGCAACCAGACCACTTCATTAAGCTGAAGTGGTCTGGGTGCCTAGAGTGGTCCTTTAATGGCAAAAGTTGTGATTCTGAGAGTGATCTTTATAGCTGCAGCAATCTGTGTATTAATTGTATCACTTATATAGCTAGAGATCTAAGGTAAATAAAATAAATAGGACTTAAAAACAGTCGTAAACAAAAAGCAAACTGTCAAGATTCCTGGCAGTGAATGTTAATGCCAGGGGGACATTCTGACACAAACAAACTGCAAGGTGACAGAGACGTTTTTATATTAAATGATTAACTTTTTTTTTTAAATAGGCTTTTATGTCCATATTGGACATAAAATCCCGGGGTACATTGATGTTGTGTCAGGCTTATGTGTACAAGAGAATGCGCTGGATTTTGTATATTTTGGCCCCAGCAGCACCCTATAAGGTATGCATGTTCAGGTGAGTTCTGAATGCCAGGAATATGCACACATACCATGAAGAAATTATAGTTAGCTGCCAGCCAAGTCAACTTCCTCAGAAAGCTCATGATGGTCAAAGACTTGGAACGACCATTGTTAATAATATGGCAGGTTGCCAAATTATCCGAACAGCATCTCAACACTTGACCTGACCAGGCTGTACCCCAGGCTACTGCCACAGCTATGATAGGGTAGAGCTCGAACAGGGCAGACGTGGTGAAAAACCCTGGTACATTTTATACTACTCTAGGCCAAGCCCCCCAAAGCCAGTGATCACCAAAAATAGCTGCAGAGCCAGAGGTGGCTGCGGCGTCGGTGAAAATAGTGAGGGAGTCAGAGGTAAGTGAAGGGATAAACAGACTTCTCCCATTCCAATTCCTGAGAAATTCTTGCCACATGCGTAAATCTGATATAGCTGGGCCATCTAGTGTGATGCGGGAGCTGTCCGGAAGCGGGGAAACAGATTGAGCAGTTTTCATATGAAAGCCCTACCCTGGGGTATAACTTTCATGGCAAAGTTGAGGGAGCCTAATAAGGACACTAGTTCTGTGCGATTACAGGATTCAGTAGAGAGATATTGGTCGATGTTCGATAGGATGCGCTCAATCTTATCTCTTGGCAAACTGGCCATCATGTTGACTGAATCTAGTGTGATACCCAGAAAGTTAATATGTCAGGTCCTACTGTCTTTTTAAGGGAGACAGGGACACCCAGTGATTGCAATAGCTGGGTCATGATCCTTACGCTTTTGGGTGAGCATAGGTTACTCTCAACAGTTAAGAAGTCGTCCAAATAGTGAATAACGGTGGGGCATCTACATACATTAAGCAGTAGCCAGCATAACGTTTCGCCAAAGGTATCTAAGATCTGGGGCTACTCTTTGCACCAAAAATGAGACGAGTAAAGCAGTAATAAGAACCTTCCCACTTAATGCCATGTAGATGCCACAAAGAAGGGTGAATAGGGAGGAGTTTAAAGGCGTTAATGATGTCTGTCTTGCTAAGCCATGCACCCTTCCCTGCTGTTTTACGGCCCAGCTTGTCCTTAATCAAGCTCTCGGTTTTAGCTGAGGGAGTAGGAAAAGGATAGGTTGCACCCTGCTCGGGAGTATTAGGACCTAGGTTAGTGGTGTGTGAGGAAGAGGAGCAAACGCTACAAACTGGGGACCTGAGGCCCGTGAAGTGCCTGCAAAATAGTTTGGTATCCAGCTGGCTCAAGTCTGTCTGAAAATTAAACTGAGCCAGGGCTGCAGACGCCTTCACGGAGAATGATCTGTGGTAATCATAAAAAGAGGTACCACCATATTTATGCCCCAGGTCCACCAACTTGTGTAAATACAAGTCAAACTCTTCTTTGCGTTGCGCATAACTCGAGCACACCACGTCCCTATAAATCCCAAAAGCCGGGACGAACTCAGGGATAGACCATTTCCTATTCAACCTGGGATCCCTAGCCTTTAGTACCACAGACACATCGCCCTAGGAATATGACTTGTTTTCAAGGATATCCTGGGAGGCAATCCGCAGCGAAACTAGATTGACATCCTTGCCTTCCAAGATATCCTTCTTAATATGTGTTGGTACCATGTGAGCCGGGTTAATGATTTTTGGAGTGAGCCAATGAATTTACCAGTCAGGGTGCTTGAGAGACCAGTAGTTTTTGGAGTAACCAATCCAGCTGGAGCCACTGGCCTATCATTAGCATCCAACCGATCCAGTTTATCCACAATGAGGATAGAACAGGTGATAGTATGGCATGGAGCACAGGTGACTGTGCACCACTGGAGCCCCCACCAGCCCCAGTATTGTCCGTGGTAGTATTAAGTAACCTATATAACTCTGCCTTCCTGGCAGTGGCAGAGTATGGAATATTCCTGCGTCTTAGTTCGGCCGTGATCCTGGGTATTGTGCAGGATCTGCGAGAAGATAGGCTGGCGTTGTCCCCTCCTTGAGATGGACCTGGCTGGAGTACTGGGAATGGACACCTCGTAATTTGCTTCTGGTAGTTCAGACATGCTAGAATAGGATAGAATTAAAATAGTAACTCAGGGAAAAGCAATGTACTGGCTGGTCTAACTAATGCCGAGCGGCGAAGAAATTAACTGACAGGAAAGGGAAGCCCTTACTAGTTGCCAAGCGGCATGAGAGGCTCTAGCTATGTGTTAGCCCGAGGGGATTGTTTGAGGCCAGTGCCGGGGTGAAGGCCTCTCGGTGACTAGTAAGGCAAAAGATAGAATGGGAGTGACCGGGGAGGCCCTTTCTATACCATGATGCGAGGCGACTAACGATGCGTTGGCATTGTAACGGATCGCCTGGCACCCCGACTGGGTACCTCCGTTGAAGGATGCTCCTAGCGCTTCCTGAGGACTCCAAGCACTCTGGCAGACACCACAATCACCGAACCGGAGAAACAAATAAATTCTCCCAAGCATATGAATGCTGTAGACAGTTGAATAGGAACCATACGAATAGGTTTACTCTCCTAGCAGTCAAACTGGAACAGCATACAATAAATCCTTCCCCCAATAATGAGACGACACTTCACTTTGAGGGTTAAGCAGGAACTCTCTGTACTGTCACATACAGTCTCTTTTATTCCCAATCCACAAACATAGTACAGCCCACAGGGCGTTACAAAACAACCAATCACCTCACAGTTACATCCCACATATTCCCTCCCCTTATCCTGAGAGGAAACTCAATTATACATACAGTTAAAACATACTTTCTACCCAACTTTCATAACTCCAAAACCATACATCACATTCACATAAAATTACATATTCACAATCAATCCATTCAGGGGAACAACATATTCAAAAATGGCACAAATCAGACAAGGGGTTCAAAAGTTAGTAAAAAGTCCTTTGTGACTAAATGAAGCATGGCTTTCTGGCCCAAACCAGTTTCAGAGTCTTCTATCCTGGAGATAAGTAATTCAATTATCTCCCAGGACAGACACAAGACTCCATTAAGCACATGGTTGCAAAAAGACACAAAACACTTTAAAATACATAAAGTCACATTTACACATAACACACAGACATTTCACATATCCCCAGATAGCTGGGATCTGAGTGCACATTATTAGATGAATGGCACTCAGATCACACAAATAAGCCTTTCTGCAGGGGAAATAAACGGTTTAACCTGCAGGGCCATAGTCCAAAGGGAGCAGGCGAGCAACCAGGCTTCTCCAGTTCACAGTGGCGAGGTTGGTTTCGCCACAGGCATATTGGGTGTGAGTACCTCTGAATATGAGGATGGGGGTCCACTAAGACTTGGCAAGAAGGCCAGAAAATTAACTAAGCGGATTCTAAATCCTATCAGCCAGTAGACCAACCTCACCCCTAGTAGGTAGAGCCCAGTGGGGATGGAGATATATAATGACCTTTGAGTACCTACCTGTATTTGAACAGATGAATAGGCTAGGAAAGATGGCTTTGAGTGATACCTATGGGAGTAAATAGTCATCATGTAGTAGCCATCACGTGATTGTGTGGAGAAAGAAATATGAAACAATGTGGAATACCTACCAGGCAAATAGACAACACCTAAAAATAAAGCAGCTGGACCGTAATGGTAGTATAACCAGTAGTACCTAGTAACATAAATGAAACCGTTAGGTTCATGAGCAAATGAGGGGGAAAATAAGAAGTGAAAGATAATCCAAGACACTAACCAAAGTAATATTGAGAAATAAAAAGGCAGGGGACGTATGCAAATATGCAGAGAGACCACAATCTGTAATATGTAAACATAGTCCATGTTAGAATTTGAAATGAGCATGAACTAATAACTAACTGATCAAGATTATACAACCCACCTAAATTGTGAAGATTGAGAAACAGAGGCAATCCGAGTTTTTAACAGCCTTGAACCTCAGAGGTACAACACGAAAACAGGGGAGGGACAGATTCTGTAACCTAAAACGTGTATATATAAGATTAGTTTAGCCAAAACAGCGAAACAGTACTACTGAATTCAACTGTAAAATCCCCTTTTCCTGGTAGATTAGTAATATGTGCAGTACTGCTGTATAACCTATAGGGGTCCCTAGTGTACCCAGTCTAATTTGTGGAATTTTTAACTGAATGGTCGCATGGACTTAGGGATTCCTACAAGTACAATATAGCATTTGGCAGAAATCTAAACGAACGACTCCCAAGGAGGAACAAAGTAATGTATAACTGCCGAACATTCCAGCGAAAGAACAATTAAAGCATACATGCTGCATGAAACGTGAGTATTGTTCGAGCGTGCGAAACGAAACTGTCGAACAGGTAAGTATAATCCCACGAACAAGTATATGAACTGATAGACAATAGTGGCAAACTACCGAACCACCGTTCATATGAAGTTGTAAACGAAAGTTTGCACAAAAGTATACGAACAGAGGGTAAGTATATGAAATAGAGTTGACCTGTGATGACTGTAGTGGAGTAGCAGGGGTTAATCCAAGAGCTCTCCACTGCGAACAAAGTTTCAGCATACAAGAATACAGGAACACAGCATAATCCCCCTCCCCAAGGACTAGACGACACATAGTCTGGGAGTCAACTGAGGTCTTTATTCACAAATCTGCTTTTATGCATTTGTCCCATGCAAGGGAGGCAACTTTCACAATTATTACAGTATCCAATCACATAATCGGTACCTCCCCCACATCTCCTCCCCTTAGCTTAAGTTAAACTTATTAAAATGTACATACTTTTACCCAATTCTTTGATGTACCACAAATACAGGGGGTACACCTTTAAATGAGTGATCCCCTGGTAGCCCTGATCCGGGTGAGAAACATACTCAAAAATCACCCAGATCGGACCAGGGGTTCGGGAGTTATTGAAGGGAAAAGATTTGACCGACCGCACGGGCAGAGTAGCTGAAAATAGCTCCATGAGTTTTGGCCCTGCGGTCGGTCTCAGTTCCCTTGTAAAAAGTCACGAAAGTCTTTGCCATCCATGCTTGAATTTACATTCGAATGAATCCCCTTGTTCGCGGGATTCATCCTACCGAATGCTGAGCTGTTCGTGCGTTTGATTCTTCCCTTTCCGGAGTGCTGGAGGTCTTAGCGGTGCTTGCTTAGTCGAGTGTCCGATTTGAGTTCCAGACACTCGACGACCAAACACCGCTGTTCGTGCGTAAGATGGCCGCCGCCACGTGTTCGACAGGCCAGGCGAATGGCGGCCACACACGAACCTCAATTACCAGCTTTTGCAACATTGTTGCCTTCGGTAATAAGTGACACACGACTGCACGGGGTGGTCTCTCATTCGGTAGTTTACACACTTTCGTGGGTAAGGCAAGGGATGCAGTTCGTGAACCGATTGCCTGAGGATAACCAGTCTAATAGCAATACAGCCATTGTAATCCAGGTGTATTCGAATTTCGAAAGTCCTTTTCTCAGTCACTTGGTGGCTAGGTTTGCCACAATAACGCTAAGCGCCTGCGACGGGGTCAGCAACTCACTGTTTACCTAAGCTTTGTGACCGTGCAGTATTGACCGGAAGACAGGGGAAGAACCCTGCGGCTTTCCACGGTAGGAAGAACTTTGATCCAGGAACAGGCAGACACGTTGAAGACAGGTAAGTTCTAGACGAGGAAAGAAAGCAAGATGGCGGTCTGCAGCAGCCGGAAATCCAGGTATGCAAATTGCCAGACCATCAATGGTAATGTGGAGGGGTCTGGCAGTCTTAAATACACAAAGGAGAGATTGGGGGCACACCCGTATACATGAAAGGTGCTGCTGCAGTGACCAAAATTCATACAGAAAAACTAGTTACGGCGCACTCAGACTTGTAAATTAATAACTAAGAAGGCTAACGCCTATCTAAGAATAAATATGGGGATTTAGTTCCACCATATGGCCATATGATGTTAAGCCCACTACTACTTCAAAGTACCCCAATATCAGTGGGTCCTACGCTAATAACAAAAATGTGGGAGATAAATTAAATAGTACTAGTGCTAAACATAAGCTACAGTGTATTGAATTCATTTCTTTGTAAGAGCAAAGTGAGTATACAATAGTGATAAAAGCAATTAAAAACAGTGTAACAACTAAACAATTAAAGTGTTGGTGCTTGAATGAGTATACTCACATTTGCAGATAATATCTGTGCTGCATAAAGAAAATAATAAAAGTGACATGACTATAAAACTCCTCCTATTTATACACACCTGTGGCCACCTCTAAAGAGGTCTCTGAAGCTGGGGGGCCTGGGCGGGGTGCTTAACCCCAAAGGAATCTGGTCTGGATTCCAAATATAATTGCACAAAGGAGAGATTGGGGGCACACCCGTATACATGAAAGGTGCTGCCGCAGTGACCAAAATTCATACAGAAAAACTAGTTACGGCGCACTCAGACTTGTAAATTAATAACTAAGAAGGCTAACGCCTATCTAAGAATAAATATGGGGATTTAGTTCCACCATATGGCCATATGATGTTAAGCCACTACTACTTCAAAGTAATTTTGGTCACTGCGGCAGCACCTTTCATGTATACGGGTGTGCCCCCAATCTCTCCTTTGTGCAATTATATTTGGAATCCAGACCAGATTCCTTTGGGGTTAAGCACCCCGCCCAGGCCCCCCAGCTTCAGAGACCTCTTTAGAGGTGGCCACAGGTGTGTATAAATAGGAGGAGTTTTATAGTCATGTCACTTTTATTATTTTCTTTATGCAGCACAGATATTATCTGCAAATGTGAGTATACTCATTCAAGCACCAACACTTTAATTGTTTAGTTGTTACACTGTTTTAATTGCTTTTATCACTATTGTATACTCACTTTGCTCTTACAAAGAAATGAATTCAATACACTGTAGCTTATGTTTAGCACTAGTACTATTTAATTTATCTCCCACATTTTTGTTATTAGTGTAGGACCCACTGATATTGGGGTACTTTGAAGTAGTAGTGGGCTTAACATCATATGGCCATATGGTGGAACTAAATCCCCATATTTATTCTTAGATAGGCGTTAGCCTTCTTAGTTATTAATTTACAAGTCTGAGTGCGCCGTAACTAGTTTTTCTGGCAGCCTTAAATAGGGAAATTATGCCCCTCCCACAACTACAGGCCCAGCCTGTCATATATCCATTTTTATAGCGGTAATTGTTAAGACCTGCAGTGGTTATGGTGCTGCGGTCTTGATTCTCTATCCCCACAGCTGAGTAGGAGTGATTATATCTGCAGCAGACAGTAAAGGACTGAGAGAGATGAACTGCAGTTCCAAGGTGTTTCTTCCCAGCAAGTAGAATATCCCCCCAAACATGAGCCTAGACTTCATGAAGGGTGAAACAGGAATAAGCTTTATTGAAACCACACAGGCTTTTATGAGAAATCCTCCTGCAAGAGGACCTCCCACAGCAAACAAAGCAACAGCCAATCATCACACAAATTTACAGTGTTACACGCCTCCTCTCTGCCTGGGAGATATTGAGATAAGTTAAGGAATAAACCAATTATCTCCAGGCAGAGAGCACACAATTTCCCTAAAACTTAGAACACCCCTTTCCTCACAAGGTAGCCCCACAAATTATCAACTGATAGCCCCGATCTGGGGGACAAACATATCCAAATTTCACCCAGATCGGGTCAGGGGTTCTGAAAAAGTGTGGAGGGTTCCTTTTACCGACCACACACGCGGCTCCTGCCCAAAACAGTTCCATGAATTCAGCGTGTGCTGTCGGTCAATTCACAAAAACAAAAGAAACTAATAAAAGTCCCGAATGGATTCTCCTGGTTCATAGTAGCGATTGCTCCCCTGGTCCGTTCACACAGAACTACCGAATGAGGCTCTCCTGGCTGTTCGGGAAGTATGAGAAGCCGGCGTTCGGTAGTTTCCAGCGGCAGTTCGAGGAGAGCCAGCGGGACTTGGTCCTCGAGTGTCTGGAACTAAAATTGGACACTCGAGGACCAAGTCCCGCTGGCTCTCCTCGTGCTAACAAGATGGCCGCCGGTTTCTTTTCCACGTGGCGTTCGGTTATACGAACAGCGGCCGCCCAGGGGGCACTTAATAGCTTGTTCTCTTTGAAGTCAATGATCCAGGAGGGTGGTCGGTGTTCGGTAATTTGAAACTACCGAACTAATCCATTCAACATACAAGTATTCATAATAATAAAAAAAACTACAGAATATCCAAGGAAAAAAATAGCGGCAAAAGTCTATTTTCTTCACAGTAATATTGGTCAATCACAATGTGACGTACAATTGTACAATCATTAAGGAAACACTACAAATACCATAAACCTTACAGCTTGCTGTAGTGGCTATGGTGCCAGGATTGCCCTGGTGTATCCTTATTTTAAAGCGTCAACCCGTTTTTAATATTGTGTTAGGAACTTCTGGCTCTTGGTAGATATTATTGGAGGCAGGAAACTGTGCCTGGCAGACAAAGGGTAATAAGTCAAATCGTTTAAAAATGTCTGACTCCTTAAAATTGAGGGAGCTGTAGGTTATGGGACTTGTTATATTCCTCAAAAAGCACTAAAACAAATTTTACTTAAATCTACCTTTTTTTCCCACCCTCCTCTATACGGGGAACCAAAAATACTGTTAGCAGCTGCGGCAGGGCTAATTGTCACGTTCTGTTCCTCACTGCGGATCATTCTGGCAATGGCTTCTGGTATCCAGTACTCTTTTTGCTGTCCTTTCTTGGTTTTTCTGGTTTTCTGGTCTATGTCTGGTTTTCGTTATTGCTGGGTTTCTGGGTTCATGCTTATATTCTGTCCCTGGATTTCCCAGTCTCTTGGATTCACTTAAATGTTTGTTTTATGTTGCCACACCCGCTTGTTTCCACTTTCCTTTTGTTTCAGCTTGGACCTGCAGCAGTATTTCATCTCTCTGCCCTTTCTTGCAGGCAGTGGCGGATCCAGAGCCTGATATCGGGAGGGGCACTTGTAGATTATTTAATTAAATAATCCAGGCACAATAACCACTACAGCTCAGTGTAATAGTTATGGTGTCAGTAGTGCCAGGATTCCACCCCAGAGTAAGTAGTCATACCGTTCAAGAACAATTTGACAACTTACCTGGGGTCTGCTGGGATATAGGGTATAGGAGCAGTGGTGTGTGTTAAGGGTGAAGTGTGTGAGTGCGGCAGTGTATGTCAGGGTTGTAGTGTGTGTGTTAGGGGGCAGTGTATGTATGGGGGCACTGTATGTGTTTTTGGGGCAGTGTGTGTATGGGGACAGTGTTTGTGGGGCAGTGTGTGTGTATGGGGGGCAGTGTGTGTATGGGGACAGTGTTTGTGGGGCAGTGTGTTTGTGGGGACAGTGTTTGTGCGGCAGTGTGTTTGTGGGGACAGTGTTTGTGCGGCAGTGTGTGTATGGGGACAGGGGACAGTGTTTGTGGGGCTGTGTGTATGGGGACAGTGTTTGTAGGGCAGTGTGTGTTTGTGGGGCAGTGTGTGTATGGGGACAGTGGTTTGGGGCAGTGTGTGTATGGG